GCTTGAGTCTATTGATGGATATATGAAAGCAAAACTATGAAAGGACACTGCAAAGGCCTGCAAATATCAGAGGAAATCGCATGATGAACGACAAACGCAAGCACACACACTCACACACATACACACACACATACAGACACATAAAGAGATGTTGGGAGGAGGGTTTTTAGATATATCGCTGTTGGCTTTGTCGTGATAAACCACATTTGGCTGATAGACAGAAGCTCCAACTTATTTTAGCTGTTTGTTAACAGTGTCCACACCCAAAGACACACACATCCAGTCAAATATGCACAACACTTTAAGAAACTTACACACACACACACTCATAAGTGCGCGCAAACACATACGCATTCAGATCTCTAACAATCTTTAGCATCTTGCTGAAATGGACACATGCGGAAGCTAAATGCTAATTTGCTAAATTTAACTGTTTATTTTATATATTCGTAGATAGAAAGACAACAAGAGCAGCGACAGAGTTTTTTCATGTGTGTGTGTGTACATGACTGTTACTGTAATTCTATATGTGTGGCACACATTCCAATTCGTATTGACCTCCATATGCCAGATTAAGACCCGTGGTGAATGAACAGATCATTAGTCTCACTTAATCTCTAATTTGTCCGAGAAAGAGATGCACACAAAAGTGCACAAACATACTCGACACGACCACAGTTCTGCACACTTCTGGGCCAATAACCGATTCTGGTGTTACCATAGCAACATAGCCTCAGCCACACGCATGCAAACACGCACGCAAACACATAAAACAGAAGCAGTGTACAGTAGGTAGTTGATCTATGAAGATGACTCCACAACAGCTCAACTTCTATTATTTCACTCAATATCGTGCACTTCAATGTTAATGATCTTTTCCCCATTAACCCTATTGGAAATGGCATTATGAAAATGTAATGAGACAGAAGTTATAGTCAAAAGTGTGTGTGACTGTTGTGTGCGTAGATGAGCGGGTGTGTGCGTGCGTGTAATTCCACTTTGCAAGAAGAGCCCTTGATTGGAGGAGGTCTTTACGAGCCGGAGGAGGGGAGTGTAATTTCCTCCCGGCCTCCGCCAGTTCCGCTGAAATAACAGAGCAGAGGAAGCCCAGCTCTCCCGGGAGGAGACACACGCGCGCGCACCAACACACACGTGCACACACAGCAAGCAGGCAAGTCAGCCAGCAATCGCGGGCGTACAAATAATCACAGACATGCACTCTTAAAGACACAGACACACACTATCACATGCGTATTTACAGACTTAAACAAACATATAGAGCTAAGAAAAAACTTTACCATGCATACAAAAACTCCAGTATTACATTGTATACATGCAAAAAGAATGACACGTGGTCCGGGACACACAAAACAAGCAGCATCTGACAACTTCAAGGGGCAACTTTAATAACAATAACATCTTGCTTGGTCACTCTGTGTTTCTCTGTCCTCTTCGGTCTCTATGCCTCTGCCATTAGCTAACATTACACCCATAGAGGCTGCTAAGCCCAGAGGAACAATAGAAAGAATCATGATTGGAAACAGGGCCGCTCGGGTGATTAAAACTGCTCAGAAGATCATTGGTACCCATCTCCTGAGCATCAGTAATATTGGTGAGGTGAGGTGCCTACACAGAGCACAAAGGATAATAAAGGACAGTACCCACACCCAGCCACAGCCTGTTCACCCTGCTGCCTTCTGGGAAGAGATAAGTTTCAGCTGCCACATCACCAGACTCCAGAGCAGTTTTTCCCCCAAGCTATCAGAATTTTATGCTCAAATATATTTGTTTTTGAGCATAAATGTTTATTTCTGTTATGTGTTAATGTTTATTTCTGACCAATTTTATAATTGCTTTTGTATTACTGTATGTTGTCTTCTACATAGCAGAAGGAACTTACAAACTAAATTTCACTTAACATCCTGTTGTAATGTAAGAAAATAAATCTACCTTGTACCTTATGTTCCCTGCTCACCTGGCTCCGGTACGACACCAGCGTCGCTCTCCACCAGCAGCAGAATATTTTTGCTTGAAACTTGGGTGGCAAGCTAGCCAACAAAGCTAAACAGCACCTAACGCAAGAGCACTTACAGTAACGTTACCAATGTCAGAGTGTGTTATCTAGTAAGTTTACTAACATCAACTCCAGATTTATAGCTGGCGGTTAAACCTGTCTGTGAGGCGTCTGGCTGATTTTGCTCGAGTCAACAACTTTGCTAACACTGGCAAACCTCAAGCAAGCAAAAGAACAGAAGACACAGCAGGTCAGCTAATAAGTTGTTACTTACTAGTCCAACAGCAAGAAGGCCAGCTCAGCATCTGTCTTTCATCCTTTCAGCTCTTGTAGCGCAAATGAGTAAAAGCCTATATATTTACTTTTGTCCGGTCTCCTGCTCAGTCACTCTTCTCTTCTTTGTCTTCTTCGGTCTCATCACAGCCTCTGCCATGATTTTGATTGAGAATACAGAGCTAGCTTCTTCTAAATACCTTATATTGTACATTATATACCTTTTGCTTCTTCCTATAGGTTGTTTGCTGTAGAGTCGTGTTGGTGCCGTAAAGCATTTCACTGTTGTCGTAATAAATCACCTGCCCGGGATTCTAACGAGTCAGTGCACCTTAAAAAGTCAGTGCACCTTAAAAATAATTTTGAAGCTGTTATTTTTACTGCATAATGTTGCTTTAAGCACCTGATAATCACATAATAGCAGGCTTAATAGAAAACTAACACACTTTGACAGCTAGTTCTCAACAGCATTTCACTCATAAGTATAGGTAAACAAGCACATTTATACTCAAAACTGTGGATTGTAATAATAAATAAATAAATTCAGTTTGTGTCGTGTCGTTATAAACAGCTTAGCCTATGCCCGGGCCGACAGAGCAAATTAACGTCCACGTGTTCTGCGCAGGCAGGTGAAAAGTCTTCCCACCAGCTGCTACACTTTTTTTATGATCCCTTGCCTCATGCCTATAGCGAAACAAGATCACTCAAAGTTCAGCCGTCAAACTTTCAAAATAAATGACTGCATGAGGTAATTTGTGTCAGTGGGCAGGCATATAGTGTATGCTCTCTGTGTGTGTGTGTGTGTGTGTGTGTGTGTGTGTGTGTGTGTGTGTGTGTGTGAGTGTGAGAGAGAGGGAGTCAGTGAGAAAGAGAGGGAGAGAGCAAGCTCATCAGTGAGGGAGTGCTGGCTGCCATACCCTGAGGGGAGGCAGTGGTGAGAGAGGGAGACGCCAGTACAGGCCATACAAATCCTGCTGCCTTCCCTCCTCCGCCTAACCCTCACCGCCTCGCATGGAACTGCCAACACACTTAGCTTGCGTGTGTGTGTGGATGTATGTGTTTGTGTGCGCCGTGTGTGCGTGCGAAAGTGTCACGGTGGCATTCACTTGGCGGGTTAGCCTTCAGGCTTCACCACCAGACAAGGAGAGGGAGAAAGAGCTTCAACAACAACCTTAAGGCTCTCATATCCCTGCTTACGTCAATAACAAAGTTGTACTCCGTCACAGCTGTAATTGAAGTGGAACTGTACAAGCCCTAGCAAGCCAAAAGCCAATCACTTTGATATCTGTAATAAGCCTAAACATAAGCAAACATGCTCAGATTCTCAAATCCTTCTGTAAAAAATAATACATAAGCATTTCTTTAAGCATGTCTGTTTTCTTTGCCCCCTACCTCTGTCAGGTATTTCGTTTTGGCTGAACCCTGTGTGTTAGGGTACAGGTCTTCATTCTTGGCCGTGAAAAATGTTTACCTGTATCACTCAAACACCTCCGGCTTATCTAAACCGCCTTTGCCTTGCGTGCCTCGCACACAATAATCAGCAGTAGCCACGCTCAGTAGCTCGCTAAGCCTCTTACACCCTTCCCTCAAGATTAGTGCTTGGGAGCGACGACAGATGCGCTCCGTGGTGATAAAAACACACACACGCAAAGACACACACACACACAAGCACAAGCCGCCGCACCTGTGTGAACAGATTTGGCGACGGTGAGCCGGCAGTGTGCTTCTCAAAGCTGACACACACACATAGACAGACAGACAGACACACACACACACGCAGACTGGTGATGCTGTAATCGTGACACACCTGCAAGGCCTCAAGGTTTGGCACCGTGCCCCTGGCCGAGCCCTGAGGGAAGCACTAGGCAAACAAAAGTTCAACAGCCAGGTGAGGAAACTGATTCAATGGGACAGAAGAACCCGACCAACGACACCTAACGTCAAACAGCCATACTGGACAGCTCAATGCCTCATGAGAAAAAAAGCTGTTTGATACTCTGGCTGAAAGTGGATTTGATATTCATGCTGAGAAAAATTACCGTCAAAGTTGACATGTGTGCCTGTAGGGTCTTCACCATCAAGGTTACAAAGAAAGACAATGCTCCAATGTGCACTCATACACTCTTCCACACAGTTCCATGTATGAAGAGCTGGGTGACAATAAAAATATCGCAATGAAATATCAGCATGCCTAGTAAGGCATTTACACAAGCTTAACTACATAATTGGCCATATAGTCTATGTGGGAAAAAAAATAATAAATAAACAAAACATTAGAAACAAGGGTACAGATTACAAAGTCCTTTATGGCAAATTTGTGATTTGTGTTTTTGGGCTATATAAATGCTCTATAAATAAAACTGACTTGACTTGATGTAACAGCTAAACATTCAATTTAACTGAGCAAAAACAATCAAAAACGTTTGTATTACAAAAATATGAAAGGCGATAATACAATAACAAATACCAGAATACAGCTAGTCTTTTAACACATTGAATTAAATCAATATGTCTTCAAGCTCTGTCTGCAAGCATTGTGCTCTTTGACAAGTAACAACCTTAACCAGTGAGGTGAATCCCTGACCACGGCAGTGAACAATCCAGCATCAAGTCAAACTAAAATTATATTTTCTTTGTAGCTTCTCCGACTCTACACATACAGAAAAACAGTGCAGCAGTAACACCAGTATGACAGAAGATTAAATATTCTTACCACTGGAGATGAAATTCGACAACCGGGACAATCACAGATTGGAGGGTGCACCTGTAAGATTCCCTTGGACATAAGAGTCTTGAGACTTTTCCCTGAAAAAACAAACAAGAGAAAACAGTTTTGGTAAATATTCCCGACCATAATCTCAAGCCAGTGAACTCATCTCACCCATGACACAGCATAAGCTTTTATCACCTTGCTTGAGAAGGGGCCCTTTTCTTCATCCCATCATCTCAGCACTTAAACGGTTTTAAGAGAAATCTTCTCAAAAATCATACAACTAACACAGTTTATATCTGAAGCAGTCCCTGCATACAAACCACTCATCTCTCTACATTTTTGCCATTACGTTTAATTCTACCCATAGCTCTGTGTGGTGAGCCAGAGAGACAGCAGCCTACTGTCATCTGTCTATAGGAATCGGTATATTAAACGATTAGGCTACCATTTTTGACCTGGGGGCGACACCCTCCCCCCCACGCATTTTAACGCCTGTCAGTTCTGCCTGAGTAACCGTGTGTGTGTGTGTGTGTGGTGCGTGCACCATGCATAATTATTGCATAAAAATAATGTGCCATAAATGTCAACATAAAAAAATACCGGAGCAGTATCACCGTATTGATGCTGTCAAGGTTGCTGTAATTACCGAGAAACAAACAACGACATAATGCGTCTAAAGATAAAAGCACCTATACATTTAATATGTAGTTGAAATTTTGAAAATGATCACATTTAACGCTGACTGTGTCGCTGGGTGGTCAAGAAACAAAACGGTAATTTTCAGAATTCTCTCTCAAACCTAACATGCGATGCAAAAAAGTATACACCCATGCACAAGTGCAGCTGCACTTCACCGAACGATTAAGCTCATAATGAGGGGAAAAACATTATAACTGCCGCACATTCAGTAATCTAAAGGCTAACTTTTTCACCTCAGTCCCGGTGCAGCCTACTCCAGATGCCCCGGTTTGGTGTATGATCGCAGCCCAAACTCTGTGTCAAAGCCTCGGAGGGAGTGTGGAAGATATGCGCCCTTTCTCATCTGTCTCCTTACGCGCTGCCTGCTGTAACCCTTTCACTCCAAAACTCCAATCCGAACCACGAGACTAAGTTTGTACCCAGAATGAGCAGCGTCCAAAAAAAGTGTTTAATTGATGATGAAGTGCCCCTCTCTACCAACAAACCGTGAGGACAGCGAAGGTTGGTCTTACCTTTGTGTCTAATACTCCGTTTCCAATCTTTGGCAGTCTCTCGTCCACTGACAAACTGGAACTCATTGGGGGTGAGCCACTCGCCCCTGTATTTAATTGAGGGTCCCTTACTACCTTGACACAGTTTATTGATATAAAGCAGTGCCTTGTTTTCTCCGCACTCCACCTCGATGCACGGCTCCCCGTTGTCGAAGAAGGGCTGAAAGTCGGGGATGGAGGAGAACCTCTCCAGCATTAAGTCGTCCGTGTGATGGTGGAGGTGCTGGTGATGCAGCGCCGAGTCGTGAAGCCCCAAGTACGCGCGGTGATGGGCGAAAATGTGGTCGTAAGGCGGCGGATGCGGGGTCACCACGGGGATAGCAGCTGCATTTAAAGGGGCCAGGTATTCGGACTGGTTGAACGCGGTCAATGCCATGTCGTCTCCATCCAGCCTCTCCTTTTTGATGGCAGGCATGTTAGTGGGAGCCGAGCGCCGGTAACAAGTGAAAAGCTGCTCGCCCGATCCAACTTGAGCGTCCTCTCCGCCTGTGAGTTGGGCTGACCCAGACTTGGAGACGCGCCGCTTAGTTTTACGCAGAGCCCCCGTGTCGCCGTGAGACAGCGGTGTGGTGAAGTTGCCGGATAGATTCCCATTCAGTAGTTTGCAGCTCGCAGCGGCAGCAGCGCTCTCCACCAGCCTCACAGCTCCTACCTCCCACATTTAATCACACTCGCTCTGTTAATACCTGACATGCTGGGTAGACCTGAGCCCCAGACATTATACCTACGGTGATCATTACCAGTCGAAGCTACGCGCCCTGTCTCTTATTTCTTTGCCCTTGGAGAAATTAGAAGTTGGAGTCTTTTGTTTTTTTATATATTCACTGTGTAAAGGCAGAATATTAAATCGGCTGTGCAGCCCTAAAAAACAACGCACATCGATCCAATAATGAGAGTTTACATCTGGTCAAGATACAATGTCACAGCCAATGAAGATAATAAAAAAAGAAATTGATAATAGAGCATTTCTCCTGTTACTCACACCAATGTGGCATATGGCATTACTCACAAACATAAGCCAAACGTAGCAGGATTGATATTCTTGAGCAGTAGCCTATGCCTATTTGCGCAACATTTATACAATTGGAAGTTTGGAAAGAGTTGTTTTTAACCCCTGTGTATGTCGTTGAAGTCACGCTGAAGTTCACAGACCTAGACCAAACAAGATTTGCACTCTCCGCCGCTTCTCAACTTGGCCCATTTAAACAGAGGAGGCTCGGCGAGAGCCACGGAGAGGGGGGACTGCGAGGGACGGCGCTTCGGCGCGCAACATGGACGAACCATCATTAGAGCATGAGGAAGCAAACTGTCATTTCCACCCATACAACTGAATCTAAAATTCCCAACAGCTGTGTCTTCATATTTACAATTTACAAAGGCCATACACCCAGTTACGAGTATTTTAAAATCCAACAACACTTGCCTGGAATTAGGTGTTTATCTTTAAATTGTTCCTTCATATGCACAACAAAAAATATTTATTTTAAAGCCCCATAGGCTTTAGGTCTACCTGAATCAGGCTTCTACCTTTTAGTTTTTACATGTGTACAATCCCACCAAAAATAATAACTTTGTCATTTATAATCATCATCGCCAAACACTTACAAATCAGACCTTCACCTTTGAACATACACAGAGAGATGGTCAGGATCTCAGAAGTCACAGGCCAGCAGACCTATGACATCAGTCGCAGGTCCACACACTGGGTGTTTCCTGTTCTTCATGTGTGTCCAAATTCAACCATCTATTTGCACAGTGACACCATCTTGCTCTCTCTCCCCCAGCCAGGGCTAGACTGGTAATCTGGCATACTGGTCATTTGCCTGGTGGGCCAAGCCACACCTTGAGGCCTATATAATTAAAATTATTTATTTATTCATTATTTAAAAAAATAAATGGGCCAACGACCGGCCCATTAAGCAGGGACAGGAAGCAGCACAGTTAATTTTCTATACTGCCACTAGACTGGCCCAATCACATCTCTTACTCCCCCCCCCCTCTGTTTCTCGTGTCAGAAGCCGAAGGTTCAATTAAGAGCCGCGTGACAGTGGAGCAGAGAGAGACAGAGGGACCCTGACAGGGCCGAGGGGCAGAGTGAGCAGTAGCTCAACAGGCAGTTGTAGGGAGGGAGCAGTGAGGTAGGATGCCATGCCATAATGACGATGATTATGGTCACTTCATAATAATGATATAAGATAATCATAATCGCTATATAAAGTGAGACCATCACCTACTGCTGCTCATCACTCAGCGTCTAATAGCGCAGCATAAGCTATTTGGCATTGTTACTGTAGCCAGCATAGTTCCCAAATGAAACTTCGGCTAACTATTCTAATGGCTGACTAGGTGATGTTATTTTGTCCGCATCAGTTGGCTAAACTGCTGTCCATATGCATCATGATCAAATTAATTAAATTATTAGGCTAAAGGTTCCCTTGATAAAGATGCGACTGTATAGGCTAATATGGTCTGTTATCCAGCACCTGTGGGGCACTGAGCTAAAATGAACTAATACTTATGTATTAATAAAAACATTTTCATTTATAGTAAACAAAGTTGTCCTATATGTTTTTTTTCACCAGCTCTATGCATTGATTGAATAAACAGCTATAATCTCACTCCCAGTATGTTATTGTTGAAATTGTATAGCTTTGTCAGGGAATTCCGTCTATTCTGGACCTAATAATAATTTGAAATGATACTTCTAGCAGAGTTTTTTTTCTTAGACAATTACTTGTACAAGTACTTCTACTTGAGTATGAGTTGTGTACTCCATGGCCACGTCTGATCACCAAAGTGTGAATGAGTACCAAGCGGGAAGCTTCCGGTCTACAATATGAAGCGAATGCGGAAGTCCCTGAAACCTGCATTCTATTGAAAAATCCAGCAGGGGGCGACTCTTCTGGTTGCAAAAAGAAGTCCGGCTCCATTAGAAATAATGGGAAAATGACCCTACTACTCAGCTGAATAATTACCCCAATAAACATTTTCCTGATGAGTTTATGGTCTCAGTCACTAGTTTCAAGTCTTCTTCAATACAAAATTATGTTCATTTAGTAAATTATGGTCCCATTTATTTTAAAATAGACCATGTATCTTTCAGGGCGGGATTATCTATGGTTGACAAGTCGTTACCATAGCGACCTGTCAGTCAGGCTAGAGCCGACTTGTACCCTCGGCACTGTGTAAAATTTAACCAGCGCCGTTGAAAAAGCTTATTAGGAGTTGGCTGTTCACTTTCTCTGGTGAGTACATTTAGTTTTAAGACTGTTGTTCGCTAGACAAAGTTATCAGCCCAGTTAAAATGACAGTTAACGTGAGTTACAGTTGCACCTAGCTAAACAAGCTAGCTTTTTCCGCACACGGCCGTTAGCACCTCCGTATCGTCACTTCCGGGCACTTCCTGGTTGCAAAAACTTGACATGGCGGCGCCCTATCGGCCAAACTCGAGGCTTCAAAACAGCAGTCCACAAACCAACGGGTGACGTCACGATGACTACGTCCATTTCTTATATACAGTCTATGATGAGTATACTGATCCACTTGCACTGGTACACCTATCCACGGCATTTAAAACTCAGCATTATGGTGGTTGGGGGGAATATTGCATTTGGTACACATATTTAAAGGGACTGCACAAATGGTGTATTGGTGAGGGGTGTCCGACTAAGCGTGCCCAGACTGATTTTTTTGTACCAGCCCAGCCCTGCCCCAAGCTTATACTCACCTGCTGCGGCCACTTCAGTGAGCAACTGCAAAAAACTGTTCAACAGTGTGTACAGAACCGTCTGTGTTGAACTCCTCAAAAGTGTTTCACATAGTTAAACACCACAAAGTAAAAAAAAACTGGCATATTTGGGGATTCTTTTATTTATTAGAAATACTAATGAGCACCGTGAAAACTGTTGATAACCAAGTGTAATAGGTATTAACCCTATCATGTTTCTAATTACAAGAACAGCATAAGTAAGTGTGGTGTTTTACAAAAAGGGAGAAGTTGAACTTTAAAATGGGAAAATAGTTGGTTGGTGGAGATGTGCTTTTGACTATTATGACCTGGGTGTGGGAGGTATTTTCTTGGTGTCTTATGATCAACAGTGTAGGTTAACCTTAATGAAAGTACTTTGGTTAATTAACAAGGTAAACAATTATACTAACCAAAACCTAACCTAACCTTTATCAGTGTTCTTTGACTTTGGGTTGCAAGCAGGTGTAGAACATTTCAAAAGAACAGCTTCTAAGATTTGTACAACTGTTGTTGCAAGCTTGTTGCTTTAACTGAAGTAAAACTTCAGCCTGGAACCACATTTTTTGAAAGCCCTTTTCTTTCCCCTCCGTCTTTTAGGGCATGTTCCCCTGAGCTCCTGGAGTTAGTGAGCAGGACCACATCTGACCCCCATCAGTAAAGAACCACCCAGGTGGATCCACCACCAACACATGGGATTGCCATTCCAGCAGCAGAGGTGGGGTCCAAAGCGCAAAGTGTGTCAGGGGCCTATAAATCAGGCCAAACTGCCTCTGACACACACAGGAAGGAGGCACGCCACACCGCAGGCGGAAGCGGTGCACGGGAAGACCAGAGACCACAGCCTGGCCAGAACCAGTATAATGCCTACAGCCAGGACCAGGGAGGCAAACACACAGCAGACATTTACAAAAACACATGCCAGCTAGCCCGCCAAAGACGATGACGGACCGTAGATTGACATTTTTCCTTTTGGAAACGAGGATTTGTGATGTCTGAAGGGAATGTAATGGAATTGGTGGGTTTATGGATCAGTAAGAGACCAACACAGACTCCACACTCGCAACTAAAGGCGGAAAAAAGGTGAATTGAAATCATGAAAACCTTTTACCTTTACAGGGCACACAGTCTAAAAAAAAAAGAAATCGAAAGGCAACATTTTTCAACTAAACAATGTCACTTCCCACATGTTGGTGAGTACACTGAGCAGCACCAGTGACATAAATCAGGAGCTGCTGACATTTATAGCGAATGTTTACAAAGCCGTTTCTAGGAAGTGGAACACTACATTTCAGAAGAGAAGCTCTTTGATTGTCTCTTTATCAAACCAGCCTTCACCACATCGCAAATGTCTCAATGGAAACCTCGTCGATGTGTGCGTTGGCGCAGGAGGTTGCACCATCGGGAGAGCCCTGATGAAACCAGTCATAAAGGGGACACCCATGCCCACTCGTACACCCACTCCCTGTCCCTGATGGTGACTCATTCTCGATGGCTCATCACGGAGGGGTTCCCCAAACTTGTACAGTGACGACACTTCAACTTTCACTTCTTCTAAAATTGATTCAGTGTTAACTGAGTCAATTTTTCCATCAGCCTTTGTGTCTTTTTCATAAAAAAGTTTGATGTGATGGTGAAGCCTTGTTTAACCTTTCTACCTCCGTTAACCTTTTCTTACTTCTTGCCTCTGTTACTACAGTGCGGCACAGTGTGAGTCCCGTGTATCTTATAAGACAAATTACCACAGAAAAACCCACCTGCTCTTACACCCCATGAATTTACAATGAAATAGGAAATCCCAATATGAGTAGGCCTGCACATAACTATATTACAGTAAAACAGGTATCTCGCAGTGTCAATAGAGAGTTACTTCTGCTTACATTGCTCGTGTGTTCTCACATAAGCAACTGAACGTTTTTAATTCTAGTCCAAGACTGTAGATACATTGTAGACCAATTTGGAGTGGATAAATAACCTTACAAGCATAGATTCTGATCATCTACATGCAGTATCTCACAAAAGTGAGTACACCCCTCACATTTTTGTAAATGTTTGATTATATCTTTTCATGTGACAACACTGAAGAAATGACACTTTGCTACAATGCTGCTGGTATAACAGTGTAAATTTACTGTCCCCTCAAAATAACACATCACACAGTCAATAATGTCTAAATCGCTGACAATAAAACGTGAGCACACAAGTGTAAGTACACACACTAAGTACACACGTTATACAAGCTGTACACTCACTACTTTACATTGCAGCAAAGTGTCATTTCTTCAGTGTTGTCACATGAAAAGATACAATCAAATATTTACATAAATGTGAGGGATGTACTCCCTTTTGTGAGATACTGTAGTCTTCATTTTGTAATATTTACAAAAAAGAACAAGAAAACCAATCTATCAAGGAATACAACAAAATTCATCCTTTCTGATGACTGAGTTTGACTTTTTAGGTGCGACAAATCAGTATTGATACACATTATAACCCAGTCAAACCCAATATTATGTTACACTAATGTCATGTCATTCAGATGTTACATTGTCACCAATATCACAACATGTTGAGGAATTTCTTCTATATCTCCAGACACTGACACTCCTCTGTTCTTTCTTTCCTTTTTGACAGTTTATGGCTGTATGAATTCTGAATAAAATGGTGTTCATGTTGCTGTAAGTGTATTAATAAATGCTAGAGCTGTTTCACTTTGGCACACACGTTTTCATCTCATAAAACTCAGTGAAACTGAAAAACAGTCTAAATGCAGTGAATAATAATAACACATGATTCATTCCTGCTATCTTGCATGTAGAGACGTGTCTTGCAATTTAATGCAAATTGTCTGTATCAGTATCATGCATCAGCATTGTCATGGGCAAACTATGACTAACTATGGTAATCGCAAGTAATGATTATTTTCATAATTGATTAATATGTAGATTATTATTTGTGATGAGTGGATGTGACCAACAGTCTAAAGATATTTGACTTACAGTGATATAAAACAGAGAAAAGTTGCAAATCCTTCCAACCTGTGAATGTTTGGCATTTTCATTGATAAATTACTTAAACATGACTTGACAGTATGGGATTATGTGTTACTATACTCTAGCCATGCTTTCACTAGTTTTGAAAACAAAGATTAAAAAAAGGACTGAAGTTGAATATATAAACTAAAAATTCGCACCAACTCACTCCTGTTCAGTATTCAGCCTAAAAAGGATGTTTACTGATAATGTCCTGGATGATTACTTTGCCATGTAATTAGCCTGAAATTCTGTCCATTCTCAAAATGCATTGCACGTCCTTTCCTTTCCGCTCATCGTCCGACGGTAACCCCCCTAACGAGGCCCCCGCCTCTGCGCCGTTGTTGGCAGCGGCCCCGGAGCCGCAGCGCTGCCGGCGGGGGAGAGAGGTAATAAATAACCCGGGGAGAGGAGCGGAGACCGCCGGGCGGTGCACAGTCTGACCTGACAAATACTCGCTGGAAAACCATCAGAGAGCGAGAGCCCACCCCTAGCGCTTGGAGCCAGCCTTTCAGACATGAGCTGCAAAATATATAGGCCTGCCCCTGCTGGAAAAAAAGAAAGGAAGACAGACAGAAGCGTCTCTCTCCCCCCCACATCCACATCCACACCAGACACCGCCGAGACACAGGGAGAGTAATTAACTATTTAAAGCAGAGTATGAATTTCTTTAGAAAGCCTATGCAGTTAGACATATGTCTTCTCCATTTCCCCCTCTGAAATATAAGAGACAAACACACTGGAGAGAGTTAAAGAGAAATAAAGTAAATGAACTTTTGCTTGAGGTGTTTAGCCAAATATTTTAGATTGAACCCAGTTAGTGTAAATCTTGTCCAGGAGTTCTGTAAACTTGTGTAAAACATGACTTTTCTGGAGACTAGAAAAACATCCAAACATGTTTTGTGCATTTGCTCGTGTGCTCCTTGATTCAGATTCTCACTCCAAAACCAATGCCCAGCTCACCCCAAATGATTGTCTCACCTACCTCCAG